ACCAGGACATCAGCTGAGATTTGGATGGGAGTTCTAGAAAAAGGGGAAAAAATAGTCAACCTCCCTTGTGTATAATTTTAGTAATTTCCAGGTCAAGCATTGGCCTTTTTATTGTGTTCTTAATTACATGCAAAAGATAATTGAAGTATATTTTGATGTCATAGACAGCATATAGCAGATCTGAGATTAAAACTCACAAAGGGCTTCAAGTGGATAGAGGAACCTTAAAACCTCTCAATAGTTTACAATGTATGTCTCTACAATGTCCTTTTATGAGTAAGCAATGTTGACTTATGGAACCACAGTTCCTAGCTTTGACAAGTCCCACGTGTTTTGACTGGCACTTAACTCAATAAAATTTGTTGAATTAATATGTTAAAATATGTATTTTTTAATGTTGGTTGCTTATGAAACTCCTTTAGAATTTGTGGAGGTATTTGAAATTCTGAGGGGTACCATAATGTGCTCTGCCTTGGAGTGTAGAAACCTTCCAGGCACCTTCAGGTACTCTCCAAAAGTGTGTCCTGAGAAGTTCCCACTCCATATTGGGCAAATCATTTGCCATGTCTTTTTTTTAATATAACAAAAAATATTTAAATTTTATTTTAGGGGGAGGAAGGAAGAGAAACATAGATGTGAGAAAGAAACATCGATCAATTGCTTCTAGCACCTGCCCCAAACCGAGGATCAAACCCGCAACCTGAGCATGTACCCTGACCAGGTATCAAACCTACCACCCTCTGGTGTACAGGTAGGAGCTCCAACCAACTGAGCCACACTGGCCAGGGCTCATTTGCCATATCATGGTTCCCATCATAAGTGGGCGTAGAGCAGCCTAACTCTAGAAAAATGAGGAGCCAAAGCAACCCTGGCTTATTGGTGAGTGCCTGTCAGTTACATTGATTCATTCCTTTGTTTATATTTAGACAATCTTGAACGAAGTGGCAGTAGTCATGTTAAATTGGTTCTCTGTAAATAATTATGTCTGTAAAGACTTCCACAGTGGCTGGAAAAGTATAATGAAAATGTATATAAATACAAATGAAAGGATTAATTCCCCTGGGCTCATAATCTTAGATTTGAGTCAGCAGCCAATTTTTTGTTTGATTTTAAGATTAGTGTGTAACAAGCATGTCAAACTCAAAGGCTAACACGGGCCAAATTAACAGGGTTTAAGTTTATGTGGGCCGCAAAAAAACAAAAGCTTCAATTTTCCTAGAAATGTAGGTTTATTTCAATAGAGACATGCTGAATACAAACGGCTGAAATAAATAAGTAATCGTTAACATAAAGTAATAGAATATTTTAATACAAATTAATTTTTTTCTTGAACATTAACTTACCAGACACTGAAGAACTGCACAAATTAATAAGCGTAATGCAAATAAACTTATTTTTCTTGTTCTCTGAAAGCGAAATGTTTCCTGTTGCACACACCACGAGTCAGTACAAGACTAATGATGTGGTAATCGGCTGCTAAAATATTCGCTGCTGGTATTAGTGGAGAGAAATGGTGCGCCTGTGCGTAAGGTGCGTAAGGGAAATGAATGCAACACGATTATAGTAATCAGTCATTAGCGAACGTTGTAGTTCGTGAGTAATAATTATGTATAACAGGATATTGTAAAAATTAAAATACAAAATTTTAATTAAAACGTTTCTTACATGCCGTCATATTGGCTGGACCACAAAAATATTCGTTGTGGGCCGCATGCAGCCCACAAATTTGACATGCTTGATGTATAACTCTATAATACATAATCTGTGTATTGTATTGGGTGTTCACTACCCCAAGTCAAGTTTCCTTTTAAGTCTTGATAAATGAAATTGATACACAAATGGCTGGCTTTATAGTTAATCCCAAACCAATACATTCCTTAAAAGGTAGAAGAATAGCATTTGCATATACATTATATGTATGTATGCATATATACTATATATATAGTGTATTTCTATAGATGTTGGCTTTTGAACTTAATTTCTTTTTTCTTTTTTTTAATATATTTTATTGATTTTTCACAGAGAGGAAGGGAGAGAGATAGAGAGTTAGAAACATCGATGAGAGAGGAACATCGATCAGCTGCCTTTTGCACATCTCCCACTGGGGATGTGCCCACAACCCAGGTACATGCCCTTGACCGGAATCGAACCCGGGACCCTTCAGTCCGCAAGCCAACGCTCTATCCACCGAGCCAAACCGGTTTCGGCTGAACTTAATTTCTATAGTGACTTTTTTTATAGTTTCTATATGAATGTTGGAATATTAGTTACATATGAATTTAACACAATTGCTAATTCTTCTATTTGTTTTTCCTTATAACTAGTCAATGCAAGAGAGGAAAGTAGGAGTTGGGTTCTTACATGACTTAGATGTCTTGAGGTAAGTAATTGGTTCCAAAAAAGTAGGCTTTTTATTTAGAGAAAACAAAGAAGTGATAAGTGGTAGTTTGAAGGGTGAAGAGTTGACAGTTCTAAGTGAAAATGCCTGAAGGCTTTGTAGCTAGAGCATGAACCTGTGGTGTAGAGTTAAGCGTTGCTTTTAAATTCTGTTGTAATAATTGTAATTATTATCGCTCCTTTAAGGTATTGTATCAACACAGTGGTGAAATGTTTCACGTTTATGAATTCATTTAAGACGTATTTTTAAATGTCTTGGTGTATGTACACGATGTCCGGCTACGACTCTAAATGTTATTGGTAAATGCCGCGTGCCCTGTCTTTCTGGAGGAGTTAGCATAAAACAAGTTCAGCCTGCCATGCGGGAAGCATGTATTTGTTTTTGAGAAATCGCAAGCTGTTTTTATGAGAACGTTAATTCTCTCAGGGAAACAGCTCTACCACCATCTGCCCCCCGGGAGACGATGCTCAGGGACACCTGCGGCCTGCTGTTTGGGGGAACTGGCTGCTGAGAACTTAGGGTAACTGACAGCCTCGGACTGAGAAGTGGAAAACAGGACAGCTGCCTCCCCCTCCATCATTGACACTAATGCAAGCAATTCTCCCCGAAGGAGCCTCCAACACCTTAGAAAAGAAAACCCTGGTGACTTGGTTTAGAGCCTTGAGCCTGTGCTTGGCACATAATAGACACTCAGTAGATATGTGTTGAAAGAATGAATGAATGAATGAACTTTGGAATGTTCTGAAGCACTAACAATATCCAAAAAGGTTGGGACGTCTCATTGCTGGGTATAGTAAATAACATAACCACTCTTCTTAACAAAAATAACTCAGCAAAGAGCAACTCCCATCTGATGGAAGCGATTCTTCGGTCAGTCTAGAAACCAAAGGTAGTTATGTGTGTGCTTGTGTGAATCTACAAAGGAGCCCATTATTCCCAACAACTTCTTATCATGGAGCTGTTTCAGGCAAGAAAGTACTAGAATGTGCACATTTTTAAACATAAGATTTTGCTTTAAAAAATAAGAACAGCCCTAGCCGGGTTAGCTCAGTGGATAGAGCGTCGGACCTAAGGGTCTCAGGCTTGATCCAGTCAAGGGCATGTACCTTGGTTGCAGGCTCCTCCCCAGCCCAGGCCCTGGCCGGGGGCTGGTGCAGGAGGCAACCAATCGATGTGTTTCTCTATCTATCTTTCCCTCTCTTCTACTCTCCCTAAAAATCAATGGAAAAATATCCTTGGGTGAGATTAACAACAACAACAACAAAAAGAACACAAGCATCTTCACAGCCTGAAAAATACACATGAACCAAGTAGTTGGTAATCTAAGCAGACACGGGTGATGGCTTCCCCAGCATGTGGGTTGTATACAGTTGCCTGGAAATCTTTGACCTTGCCGTCTATAAAGGCTGGGAGATGTGAACAGCTTTGTTAAGAATTTCCCAAGAACGGAATAAATGTAATCTCACGGAATGGGAAATTTTGATAGTCTTTGTACTACTTACGGATACATTTTCAGATGTGCTGACTTAATCATTCGCAAATAGGCTTTAACAGTGTTTCTAGCTCTGAACATCCTAGCTGAGGTCTAAATGCGACTTTTCACTGACAATCCTGAGACAAGAGAACCCGTTGGAGCTCCCTCCAGGAGAGTGAAATGTGTAGTGGTTCCGTGTGGGCCAGCTCCTTCCGATTCCATCTGCCGGTTGTGAAGCCTTGAGCGGCGGATTTAATTTCTCTGAGCCTACTTTCTCCCGCTGATTGATAAAGTAAATAACAGGACCTGTGTCAAGGGTGGTTGTTGTAAGGATTAAATGCGATTATATACACAAAGTGCTTTGCATAGTACTGTACACAAGAAGTAATGCTTCCTAAATAGTCAAAATTTAAGTTGAAATGGGTGAAATGCTTAAAAATGCTGAAAACCAACCATTTAGCAAATATACTGCTTCTTAAGGGGTAACATTCCAGAGAACGTGGTCCTTATTCACTCCTTCAAATAAAACTGATAAAGTCAGAAAGGTTTTATTCCAGATAACTAACACACAATTAATTAGGCACAAAATATTCCAGTACTGAACTGCTGCTTACATCAACTCTATTAAATTGTATTAAATCTGGGCATGGGATATTTATCTGGCACCTAATTGTCAATATTCCAACTATTTATGAAAACTAAGGCATTTAATTTGCGAGTTAAAACTGGGATAATTCCTCTTGCAGCCCCACCACCTTCATGCTTATGTGTCAAATAACCCAGCTAAGATTTTAATGTGGTTCAAATATTTGTTGACTGCCTGCTATAGTCATATAACAAACACTATTCAAAAGTAGGAAGGGAGAGAAAGCGAGCCACTTAGGCTGATGTTGTTTAGAGCCTTTCTCTGGGGAGAGAGACCGATGCAAATGAAGACCTAGCCCATCCTGTCCAGCATGGCGCAGGCAGGAGTAGCCTGGACCTCCGGCATCAGGCCCTCCTTTCCAGTAATTCGTCTCATTTCCCGATTCCCCAGGGAAGGAGGGTGGCCAGCGCTGCTGATGACATCGCCTGACATCACTGTTCCGGATGGTAGGAGCGCGGGGCCGCCGGCCCACCTCCTCGGTGGCCTGACTGCGTTAACCTCTCCGTTCCCCGCGCTGCCACGTGAGGTGTCCTAATACGGTCCGACCAGGGAGACGCCGCGGAGCGCTCGCCTCTCCGGTGAACCGGGAGGGGCAGGCACAAACCTTCGGAGTCAACCACAGCCTGAGGAGAGCAATGGGGCTTTGGGGTCGCCGCCGGGCGAGCTGAAAGTCCGCTGCGGCAGAAGCTCCCGCCTTGGGTACCTATCATTCAGTAAACCCGGCTAGTCCCATCTCCCCGGAGGCTTCCCGCCCTCGCCTCTTTCTCAATCTCCCCTCGCCATCGGCAATCCTGGGGCACCCCCCAGCTCAGGTCCGAATTTCGGACCGGGGGCCCCTGGGGGCGGCTCTCGGGACCTGGGCTGGCGACTCCCTGCGCCTCGGGTCCTAGCAGCCTGGGGGGGGGGGGGGATGCTGCTGCAAGGCGTGTCTGGGCGGCGCTCATGTGATGAAGCGAGGGGAAAACAAGGGGGAGGAGGAGGCGAAGAGGTGGCTTTTTTTTTTCTCCTTTTTCTTTTAAGGAGTTTGCCGCGAGCGCGTCTCCTCCATTCGCAGTCCCGGCGCGGTCGGAGGAGGAGCGGGAGAGGACGGCGCTGCTGGGACCTCGCGGGCGGGCGCGCGGCTCCTCGCTCTGCCCCGCGGCCCCGCGACTTGCAGAAGGCGTGACCGGCGGCTGGGCGCGGGGAACCGCAGAGCGGCCATGGGTGCTGGGAGCTCCACCGAGCAGCGGAGCCCGGAGCCGCCCGAGGCGGGGAGCGGGGCGCCGGCCGAGCCCGAGCCCGAGCCCCGCGGCGGCAGCCCGGTGGCGGAGGCGGCGCCCGGAGCTCCCGGGGACCCGGACATCGCGGCCGCGGAGCCGGCCACCAAGGTACGGGAGCGCCGGGCCACCTGCCGCGGGGAGGCGGAGGGGGGGGGATCCCTCTGATTTCTGCCTGCGAGAACTTCCCGGCCCGCCCAGCCCATCTGCGAACTCGGGCGCACGAACCCCTCTTTCCAGGGTGGTGGTGGGGTTTTGCGCCGGGGCGGGACCCGAGCAGCAGCGAGCGCGGCCGGGGGCTCGCACCTTTGTCGCGGGTCTCCGCGGCGGGCGACCGCGCCATCCGCAGTCGGAAACCCCGAGCCTTTCTCCACACCCTTCCGGGGCTAGCGACCCAGCCCGAGCCGCTGGGCTGCGGGGGGCGGGGGGAGTCCGTGGGGAACTGACCCCCGGGGCCCAGAGTCTTGAGCCCCGGGCCCTGCCTCTCCCAGATGCGGAAAGTCAGCTGCTGGGCCAGGGCCCGTGTTGCCGCCCGGAGGACGGGCCACCCCTGGGTCCCAGGCCGCCTGCCTGCCGTCCTTGTCGCCAGCTGTGCCCGGAGCCACCTGGGTTTGGTACCCAGTCCTCCTGCGGCAGCGGCTGGGGCAGACGACGCCTTCCCGATGCAGAGAAAGCCTGGGCTGTAGCTCGCTCGGAGCCAAAGAAAACCTGGGCAGACGCTGCGTTTCCAAAAGGAATGACAGGTTTTGAAAAACGAGGCAGCGTCTTCCCTTTTGCTCAGTGCATTGCCTGTGGGCTCGGTTGGATAAACAGATCCCGGAGGAGTAGTTAGAAGTTTTCAAAGGATGCGGTCTGTGCTCTTGACTATGAAGGCGTCCGTGAACCTGCTAGGGCATTTGCATGGGACGGTCTTCAGTCTCCAAGGCTGGCATAGATAGTCTTGGCCGCTCCAGCAGCCCAGTTTGTATTCGGTCCCGTCATTGGATTATAGACATATTTCCCGGCATGTGCGTTCCTTGGCAAAGCTTCTCCCAGCCTGTTTTATGATGATGCCCTCATAGGAAGATGTGGTCAAAAACAAACAAATCATGTGTCGAATTTGAGGATGCAGATTACACGAGGACCTTTGAGAGTTATCTGGGCAGGTTTATTGATGTTTGATACATGTTTAATGCATACATAGGTAAATATGTTGGATAAATGTTGTTATAGGGAAAAAGAAGCTGAAATCTAGGTAAATGTCACAGAACTATGGCCTCATTGTCTTGACCTCTTTAGATGCCCCAGTCTAGTTTGGGCTGGGACAGCTCTTAACTAGATTACCTTCAGTCTTTAACTTACAAATCCTTGTGAAACCCATGGTCCCTGTAGTTGGAGATATAACAGGTACTAACCGCCCGGTATAGCTAGATTTTGTAAGGTGCCCACGCCTTGGCCTAAGGACCGGACTGTCGCTTTGAGATCTGAGTCACATTTTAATGCTTACTGTACATCACTTTTTAATGCCAACTACTGCCAAACGGTTGCATAGCCCGGATTTAGAGTCCAGTAACGAACGTAACGTTAATGTGCCATTGCTAAAGCTTTTAGTCAGGTTCGTTTTTCCGTGGCTTTTACTGCCCCTCAGGCTCTCCTGTTAACAGTTCACGCTGAAATGCGGTACTTACTCCCTTCCCAGTAAATTCTAATTTGTTCATGTAAAAATATTCCTTCCATTTTCTGATTCGCTTCTCTTTATATCTTTTTTTTTTCTCTCCTCAGAATCTTAGTCTTCTCCCTCTTTCCTGGTCACCACCATCTTGAAACAGCCAAACCCTGTCCTTTAAAAAAAATGGCTTAAATGACATCCAGAATTCACTGACCTTTTTGGCGTTCTGCCCAGTTATCAATTTGGAGGCAATCAATACACTTACATGTATCCTTGGAAAACGTGCAGCTTTTCCTTTCAATGAGCAAAGTGTATTTCTCAGGTTTTGAAGACCTAAGTCTTTTCTAAAGAACTCTGATTAACAGTGACTCAGCACGCGGCTCTTGCCTCCCCTCTTCACCCTGTTCAGCTCCAGTTCCTGACCGCCGAGTAATTCCATCTGCCATTCTAGGCTCTCACCGTGCCATGGACCCTTCTTCTAGCAGTTTCCACGTTTGTGGCTTTAGTGACTTGACTAATGTTTTGGGTTTTTTGGGTGTGTTTTGTTTTGTTTTGTTTTTGTGAAGCTATTCTGAATGTTCCACAAGGGCGGGAACCATGCCTGTTGTTTATAACAGGTGTTCCCCCCAGGTGTTGCCTGCTGTCTGGCACGTAGTGGGCTCTCAGGAAGGGATGGTACTGGTTCCCTGGTTTTGATTAGAGACGATCAAGTTGGGCAATACCCTGCCCGTCTAATTTTTCTACGATTTAACCTTTGACCTTCTCATCATGATCCATCTCATGTATCAGACAGTGATTACGTCAAGTCCGTCTGTTTGGTTATTAATAGATCTAATGGATATTTTGGCAAAAATTCAGATTTGGGGACTTTGGTTTCTATTTCTCTTGAAAGAGTGGCATGGTAGGCAATTTCGAATTGCCTTTGATATCAGATAGACCAATGTATTGGCCACAGATATGCAGGTGGCTCAAGTGAGATCACTTCAGTGCATTGAATAGTTATGAATTACATCTTGAGCTTTCTTGTTTGGGTCTATTTACTTTTTGGCAGGTTTAGACGAATACATCCTTCCCTTCCCACCAGTAGAATGTTGATGATTATAATAAAGAATGTATTTGTAAAGAAAAAAAAAAAAGAACGTTGATGATTAACTAGAGGCTGTTAGCAGATTTTTACCCCCATCTAAAATGATAATCGTATCATATGCATGTTGCCTATTTAGCAATCCAGTTTACTTTCCTTTTTGTCTGCTAATTTCAGTTACCAGTTGCTCCCTGAATAAGTGCTCACACATCAAAAGATGTTACACTCATTGACTTGTTACTCCTATCAGGTCAAGCTTGATTACTCAAGCTTAATGTTTAGATGCACTGAGGCAGAAGTCTTGGTTTTATCTGTGGTATTTTTCAATAAATGGAAGGAATCTTATATCTTCTAGTCCATTTTTTATAGTCGTCATATGTGAATTCTGGGAGAAAATGGCTTGATCAATCATTTTCCAGGTTTAATTTTGAGACTTGGCTATTTTGGCTACTACAGGGGCAGGAATATTAGACTGCGAAACACAGGGGGTAAATAAAACCTCGTATTAATCCTCAATTGTCTGTTATAAAAACTTGTCTTCAAAGAGTGTTTTAAATCCGGTGGCTATATAGGGTGGAGTATATGGCACATAAATGACAAATGACTTCCAGGACTCTGGCAAATCTTGATTCTGGAGCCAAGCTTTAGGCTAAGTCTGGACAGTCCCCATCCTCTGCATCAGCCTTTCTGCATTTTCTGCTTAATCAGTGACTTCAGAAGTAGAAATGGAACAGTGGTCAGTTGCCACAGTGAGAGGCCAGTGTCCCTGTCGGGTGGGAAGATGGGGACTCCCGTCAGTCCTTCAAGTTGGGGTTCCATTTGGTTACAAGAGCTGAATCACCAAAACATGAACTTGTACTCAGTTGGAAGGATCCATTATCTGATGAGTGGATTGAAGGATGTCTGCCTTTCGTGCATTAAAACAGACCATTGAGTTGACTGAGTGCATTTCGTAATCCTCTTCCAGCTTCAGGGGGTGGTATGCTTTCTCTCACTTGCCCTCTGTTTTACAAAATGGGGAAGGAGCCTGAAGATGGCATGATGGGATTAGGTCACCAGTTTTACACTAAAAGGGCCGCAATTTAAGATGACTAGGCAAGAATTATTCGTTTGTGAGTAGAGTGGTGTTTCTTTTTCGTTTTCTTTTACAAACCTTTGTGTCCAGAGTGGTATTTTTATGTGTGTGGCTACCCTGTCTTGTGGATTTTCGCCAGATTCTAAAAGGTGCTGCTATCTGATTGGAACACAGCCCTGAAACTGGAGATGTGATGCGAGGATGGTCATTTAGGATAGCCGTGGCTGTGGGGACTGCAGGCCCTGCAGGCCCTGCCCTTGAGTCTGTTGCAGCTATTTAGGCCGGTGGATGTATGCAGTCAATGGAGATTTCCACTTGAAATACCTCACTCTATGAATGAAGCACAGGCCTCAATGTGCGTCCCTTTGCATTCATTTGGGTTGACTAAACTCTGCGCCTGGATAGCTTTTAACTGATATTATAAGGATCATTCTAGTTTGGTATCTTACAGGAGGATTAATAAAATGGAAATAAAATGTCTTATGTTAAAAGGTATTTTAATAGAATTGGGTTTTTTTTTTCTTTCTCTTCATTAGCTTTAACACATATTCAGTGTTGTAGAACACCAAAGAAAGGAAAATCAAATGAAGTGGTGCTTATCCTTGACCTCTATAACCCTATATGCTGTAGTCATTCATGAAGTGAGAAATTAGAATTTATAGCACTTTGAATTCTGAGAAAAATATAGTCATGAAAAAAACTTAAATATCCTCAAACGCAATTCTTAGTTCTCTTACAATTCAGAATAAATTTGATTTAATTTTAAAAGAATTTAATGAAAAAATATGGGGAAAAAGCTGGGTTCTGAAAGGAAGAAGCACTATATGTAAGCATATTTTCAATAAATTCTTGAAAAATCTATAATTATAATGATTTGATTTGTCTAATTAGATTTCGGGCCATTTTCCTGAAAATTAGCACCATATTAGAGAGTGTAAGGGTAGGATTAAAAATATATATGTTTTTGTTGATTGCAGAGAGAAGAAGGGAGAAAGATAGAAACATCAATGATGAGAGAGAATCATTGATTGGCTGCCTCCTGTACACCCCCTAATGGGGCATGTGCCCTGACCTGGATTGAACCATGACCTCGTTCATTGGTCAACACTTAACTGATGAGCCACACAGGCTGGGATAAGGGTAGGATTTTGTACCTATGATCATCTTTTCGTGTCCTACTCAATAGTACATCTAATAAAAGGATTGAGGTGTTAAAATAATCGAATAATTTCAACCATACATGCCTTCATATCTCTTATCATAATTGAGCTTACTTATTTAAAGCTGACTGTAGATCCCATATC